ACTGCGGGCCGTTGGAGCGGAGCGGGGGGCAGAGCCGGACCCGCGGCGTGCGACGGCCACTCTGCTGCGACGTCCTCTTCACATGGGTAAACTGAGGCCCATCGCGATCTCAGCACCAAGTGGGGTCCCCGCAGTGGCTCGGGGAGGTGGGTGCGTGGTGAGGGCTCTGGGGGTCGGGGAGGGACCGTAGGGGACGGAGCTGGCACTCAGCGACGCTGGGGTCCGAAAGTGGACTCATGTCCTGCTTCCGTCGTCGGAAGCCCTGTGCCCAGAGGAGCGGCCCCAGAGTCCCTGGTGCCACCAGCCCTGTGCAGACGCTGGTGGCCTTGGGGACCCTGAGCAGCCCAGGGACAAGTCATTACTCACGGTGCAGCCTGTGCTTGCTCCAAACAAGGGCTGATTTGGGGACCCAGGAACCCCCACGTCGGCTGTGCGGACTTGAATCCCCACTCCTGCCCCAGCTCCCAGGACAGTCATTTGATTGGGTGGTCAGGGCTCTGGCCTGGGTGGCAGACAGTCCTGGGCCCCTCTGGGCCTCCCTGTAGGAGGGGACATTGGGCCCATGGTCCCCATGTCCTCTCTTTGGCAGGGGAGGTGACCACGAGGGGTGGGTAGCCAAGAAGGGGTGGGCAGCCAAGAAGGGATGGGCAGATGTCCGTTGCACAGGGAGACCTGCTGTGGGGGAGAGGAGGGAGAAAGTAGGGAAAAGAGACCGTGTCCTCTCCCTCCCCCCAGAGGACTGGCTCCTGAAGATCCAGCCTGTGTCCCCTAGCCCACCTCCATGCCCCTAGCACCTTAGATGGCATCGGCAGTGCCAGGAGGTCCCCAGAGAGCTGGTTGAGGAAGCCCAGGCTCCACCCTGATTCCCCTAGAGTCCTGGGGTGCAGGGGTGGGGAGCAGCTTCTTCTTGTCCTTGCAACGTTGGAGCCACGTCCCCCAGCCCCTTTGCTGCAGGCCATTGAGGGTAGACAGGGACAGAGCTCGGGAACTGGACCCGGGCCAGCCCTGGGCTTGTGGCTGTGGAGGAGGGTCTGAGATTCCACCAGGGGGCTACTGGGGAGTCCTGCGGGGGTGGTGTAGATGGTCACCAGCTGCTCGCTTGGAGGTCTGGTCCTCTCATCCACACTGGCCCAATCCTGGGACTCTGTCACAGAGGCCCTGCAGTGGCTCCTGTCACAGGGATAGAAGCAGGGCCAGGCCTGTGCCTCGTAGCAGCCCCAGGAGCTTCCACTTCCCAAAACTACTCCCAGCTCCGGCCATGGGTCTGACTGAAAGAAAGTATCCCCTCCTGTGGTGTCTCCAGGACACTGCCACTTTAGAACATGTGGGCTGTGTGTACAGGAGGATACTTTTAGGAGGTATGTGTGATTCAGTCTGTAGATGCTTCCACGAGCCAGCTGTGTGACCTTGGGCAAGTCACTTAACCCCTCTGTGCGTTTGCTCCCAAATGACGGTGATTACCCCGGTGGGGCACAGGGATGCTCAGTTACATGATGAGAGTTGCCAGGCAGGATCTGAAGCCCAGCATGACCACTCTGTGACTGTCTGTGGCTGTTGTTCCTCCCCCAGTCCCCAGGGACCCTTCTGTCCCCTCCCACGGACCTATACAGTTCTCCCAACCTCCAGAGCTCCCAGAGGAAGCACCCTGGGGGCTGGCCCAGGCCCAGTCTACTGCAGCTGTGGCAGAGGCCTCAGAAGCCCCAGAGAGATGGCCAGAAGCCAGAGTATGCCCTGTGCTGGGGGCCAGGCCCTCAGGTTGTCCCCTAAGTCCCTGCCTGCCCTGCCCCACAGTTCCCAGGTGGGGGGACATGAGTGAGGGTGGGCAGAGATGTACACAAAATGCCAGTGGGCTGGACTAGAGCCTGGGTTACTCAGCCGTTTACTTGGTGGCTGGTCCTGGCTCAGCTCTGCAGCCACAGCCCCTGCCCACTGTCCCTTGCTACACCCCTGTTGGAATAGAGGAAGACGAAGTGGCCTTTCCCCTTTCAGTGGACATCGTCTTCCTGTGCGACCATGCCTTGTGCATTCTGTAGTGCCATCGTTGTCACCCTTAGTAGGCTGGTTGTTGTGGGGTTTTTTTTGTTTTGTTTTGTTTTTCAATTTACACTTAACTCGTTTTCTGAACTAAATCCAGAAAACGGGTAGAAGAAGGGTTTTTTTGGTGGTGGTGGTACTGGGATTTGAACTCAGGGCTTCATCCTTGCTAAGCAGGCTCTCTACCACTTGAGCCACTCCTCCAGCACCTCCCTCTCAGAAAGGTTGGTTAAGTTGAGATGCATGGCGGTTGTTCAGAAGGAAGTGAAGTAAAAAAGTGAATTGATTTAAAGAAAAAGATGGTATGGGTAACGCCCAGGAGGATCCCCAAGGTGGGTTTGTGCGCAGTTTCAGAGCCCAGGAGGGAGCATGCAGCATGGTGGAAGAGCCAGAGGCCGAGTTCTGCTGGGCTCCACCTTAGCTCTGTCCATGTGTCCATGCTGACATTCTGCAAGCATTAATGTGCTAAGCTCGTTAGGTGCTGGCCTGGCACGGTGGCCTTTTAGGAAGTGTCATGATGGAGATGGGAAGCACAGTAGGAGAGGGGCTGCCATGTATGATAAGGCAGTGAGCTGTGATGTTTGAACTGGGTTTTGAAGCATGAGTAGGAGTTAGACAGGAGGGACAGGAGTTAGACAGAGGGAACAAGAGGAGCAAAGGTACAGAGGCATGAGGACTTGGCTGGAGCCACAGTAGAACGTGGAAAGAAGAGAGGCCAGAGGGTCAGGTTCACGGGTCTGGTCTTGAGGCCCAAGCCAGAGCACTGAGGTTTCATTGCTGCCGGGGTTTGAGTGGGAGAATCTCACCCACCCGCCCGGGAGGCTCCCTCTGCTGGTGAAGTGGGGTGACCGGAATGCAGCACTGCCTGATGGGGGTGAGATGGCCAGGCTTGGGTGGAGGCAGAGGCTGGAGGAGGGTCCTTTGGAGTGTCCCAGGAGGTGGGGGCTGCAGAGTTGGCCCCGTGCACCCCAGCCTGGGCTGGCATGGTGCCCACAGCACAGGGACCTCTCTCTAAGGCCAGCTTGGGGGCTGCTTGCTGCAATCAGAATATGGGGGCCCTTTGTGAAGGAGCGAAGACTCCAGCCAGCTGGGCCCATGATGTGTGTCCAAAGCAAACAGGAAGAGACCACAGTGGGCCAGGCAGGGCCTCGTTCTTTGTTTGGGGAAGGGATTAGGTCAAGTGCACTTTCTGCTGCAGAGGTGGGAGAGGCCTGAAGGCAAAGGCCTCTTTGGTGACTGGGTGTGTGACATGAGGTACAGCGGTGTGTGGCCCCTTGGGTCCAGCCTGCAGGGCACTATCAGATGGCCCCTTGGCAAATTCTGTCCTGGTGAAGGAGACTGGGAGTGTAGACACATGGGCCTCAGGAACTACCATTCCTCTGTCTCTGTAACCACGCCAATCTGTAGCCTTCCCCAGCCACAGCTTGGCCATCAGCCTGGCCCATGGGAGCAGCAGCTGGTCATAGCAGCGGGAAGTCCACAGGGGCCCAAACCAAGGCCCCAGGGGCTGGACTTTAGAGAGTGGGGTAGGGATTGCTGAGGCTCAGAGCTCCTTCCATCAGAAAGGCAGACGCTCCGGGCTCCCCCAAAGACCCTGCACTCTGGCCCAGGCCTCTGGCCCAATGAGGGCAGTCGTCACTCCCTCTTTATGCCTGGGTGAGTTCATCTTTGTCCATCCTACCTGTCCACACTTTGTTTAACACACCCTCCTGCAGGCTCAGGTGGCCAGAGGTGGCAGGTAAAATGATTCAGTGTGTGGTGAGCTGCAGCTGGGGCAGAGGCAGGGTATCCATTTATGAGGCAGAGCCCACAGAAGGATCATGGTGAGATGGGGGTGCTTTGGATGTGGGGTTGAGGGTCAGCTGAGAGCTGCACCTGTAGGCTGTCTTGGAAAGGCTTTTTTTTTTTTTTTTGCCGTACTGGGGTTTGAACTCAGGGCTTCAACTGAGAACTCGTTGAGAACTTCGCTGAGAACTCGTCCACAGCCCCCGGGCAGGCGCTCTACCACTTGAGCCATGTCCCAAGCCCTTTTTGCTCTGGTTATTTTGGAAATGGGGGTCTTGCTTTTTGCCCAAGTCAGATCCTCCTATTTTAAGCTTCCCACTATCACTGGGATGACAGGTGTGTGCACTACCGCTCCTGGCTATTGGTTGAGATGGGGTCTCCCAAACTCCCTTACCCAGGTTTTCTTCGAACAGCAATCCTCCCGATCTCAGCCTCCCAACTAGCTAATTACAGGCGTGAGCCGCCTTCTGGGCACCCTGCTTGGTAGGGCATATTTTATCCAGTACATACAGTAACTAACGTCTTCCTTTCCACCCAGGATAGAAAAAGAGGCAGTGCTGTGTGCACACAACCTAAGAGGTAGGGAATGGTTGTAAGGTTCTACTATGGGCTGTCTCAGATGTCTTCTCACTAAATCTGCTAAACAAACCTTTTATTTATTTATGAGGGGAGAGGTTCAGAAAGGTTGGAGGAAGGTATCCACCAACCTCTTCACATAAAAAACCAACCAACCAACCAAACAAACAAAAAACCCAAAGGCAAAACAACTTTACTCAGGGAGCTGATTCAGTGTTTGGCCAGAGGGAAACCTGGAAGGACTCCCTGCTACCGAAGAAAACAAAAGAGCCCATGGACCTTGTCTCAAAGGATCCCCTGGTTCCCTTCCAGGATCCAACCAAAAGGGTGATCACTGAGCTGAGAATCGCCTCCCCTCTGCTCTGTGCATGTCCTCCCTGGGAAGTCCTTTCCTGAGTCTAACCTCGAGTCTCCTGCTGCTGTTCTTGCCATGTCTATTTGCAGGTAGATCAGTGTGGTGAGTTGACCACTCCTTCTGCCTGCGGGGCCTGCATCCTGCATCCTGCTGCTCAGCCCTCCCTTGGGCCTGGCTCCCAGGTGCCTGCAGCCTGTAACTGGACACTGTTGCTCCCAGCAGGCACCGTTGAGCCAGCCCCGCACACCATTCCTGATCTCCTCTCTGGAGCCGGGCAGAGTGCGCCCCTGTGCAGGCCAGTGACCTTTGCCTATCAGAGCTCTGGTTAATTTTTGCCCAGTCTAAGGGTGCTGGGACTCCACCCGCCCTGGGATATAAGTTTGGCCCAAGGCTGCTTCGGTCTCTGCCTGGCCTGAGCTGCCCAGAGCTCCCTACTCACCTTCACCATGGCCAAGGGCTTCTACATTTCCAAGTCCCTGGGCATCCTGGGCCTCCTCCTGGCTGTAGCAGCCTTATGCACCATCGTCGCTCTGTCTGTGGTGTATGCCCAGGAGAAGAACAAGAACGCTGAGAACTCGTCCACAGCCCCCGGGATCTCTGCCACCACACCCGCCACCGTGGCCACCACCGTGGATACCACCGTGGATGAAACCAAAGCGTGGAACCAGTACCGCCTGCCCAAGTCTCTGATACCTGAGTCCTACAATGTGATTCTGAGGCCCTTCCTCTCCCCCGACGTCACGGGCCTGTACATTTTCACGGGCTCCAGCACCGTCCGATTCACCTGCAAGGAAGCCACCAATGTCATCCTAATCCACAGCAAAAAGCTCAACTACACGCTCAAGGAGTCGGGGCACATGGTGGCCCTGCGGTCCCTGGGTGGCTCCCCGCCCCCTGTCATCGTCAAGACCGAGCTGGTGGAGCGCACTGAGTACCTGGTGGTGCACCTGCAGGACTACCTGGTGGTCGACCAGCAGTACGAGATGGACAGTGAGTTCCAGGGGGAGCTGGCCGACGACCTGGCGGGCTTCTACCGCAGCGAGTACGTGGACGGCGGTGTCAAGAAGTAAGTCGATGGGGGGTGGGGGCTGAGGCTGAGGCAGAGCTGGTGGGGGGGGTGCCGTGGAAGGGTTTGGGTTCTTGGAGTCCTTGCTGGTCCACCATCCATCCACAGCTGCTGGGAGCAGATGGCAATGTAACAGACCTGGAAGACTTGCGGGCCCCACATCTGGAAGTCAGGGATGAGCAGCGGAGGGGACAAGAGCAGACGGGAGGACAGAGGCTCAGGGAGACTTACCCAAATTCCCCCAGCTGATCGATACAGGGTGGAGCTGGCCAGGACTTAGACCGAAGCCAGAAGCCCTGATCTTTTGTGGGCAGCTCAGGGGTGTTGAGGCTGCCCCCTCACTCCCTCTGCACACTGAAAGCCTAGCTCCGCCCCAGCCCTTCCTCTAACACCTTGGTTTGGGCAGAGTGGTGGCCACGACCCAGATGCAGGCTGCAGATGCCCGGAAATCTTTCCCCTGCTTCGACGAGCCGGCCATGAAGGCCACTTTTAACGTCACCATCATCCACCACAAGAACTACACCGTCCTGTCTAACATGCTTCCCAGAGGTGAGTGGCGCTGCCCTGGGGCCACACCGCCTGGGTAAGCAGGTGCCTTGGGGCTGGGGACAGGGCCACCCATATGCATGTTTGCCCCCTGCCCAGGCCCCAGCACTTCCTATGTGCGCGACTCTGACTGGAACATCACGGAGTTCCACACCACGCCCAGGATGTCCACGTATCTGTTGGCCTACATCGTCAGCGAGTTCGAGAAAGTGGAGTCAGTGTCCTCCAGTGGTGTCTCGGTATGAAGTGGGGCCCAGGTGTCCTTTGCCCGCCCAGTCCTGGCTGGAGAGAGATTCCTGGGTCTTTCTTCCTGTGCCAGCCTTGGAATAACATTAGGCCACCGTTTGGTCCCTGCTCTGAGTGGTCCCAGGCAAGTGTCTTAAGCACTTGGAACCTCTGTCTCTGTGTTTGAGAAACTGAAATAGTGACTCCTTTTCATAAAGGAAGTTCCTGACCCACAGGTGCTACCCAGATGGTGACTTTGGCTGTTATTATTCCCCAAGCACCTAGGCTAGGAACCAAGGCCTCTCAGAGCCCCCCGACTAGCTCCTCTACAAACCAGGCCTCGTTTGTTTGGCCCATCAGGGTCCCCCAGCCCATTAGGCCCTGGGACATGGCTTACCTGTCCCGGGGTCCCGGCCCTGACTGCTTCCACCCACTCTGCAGATCAGAATCTGGGCTCGGCCCAGTGCCATTGCCGAAGGCCATGGTGATTACGCCCTGAATGTGACAGGCCCCATCCTAAGCTTCTTTGCTACGCACTATGACACACCCTACCCGCTGAATAAGTCTGGTGAGTGAGGGGCCTAAGGCGGGAGGCAGCTGGGGGGCTCCACATCTGAGGCATCCTGCTAAGGTCTCCTATGGCCTCCGCAGACCAGATTGGCCTACCCGACTTCAACGCCGGTGCCATGGAGAACTGGGGGCTGGTGACATACCGTGAGAACTCCCTGCTCTTCGACCCACAGTCCTCCTCCATTGGCAACAAGGAGCGGGTGGTCACTGTGATTGCTCACGAGCTAGCCCACCAGGTAGCCCTGCCCCGGGGAGTGCAGACAAGGAACCAGGGGTCCTGGGGACAGAGGGCACAAGGCCTGGCTGTACCCTGAGGAGTGGAGAAGGGGGGAGGGGGCCACCTAGCAGGACAGCCCGAAGGAACCGGCCCGATGTCCAAGTCCCTGGCCTGTGCCTAGCAGGCAGCCAGCCATGGCAGTGTGTTGTTAGTGACCGTGGGGCTGGCATGGTTTGCCCGGCTGACCTGCTTCCTCCACAGTGGTTCGGCAACCTGGTGACCGTGGAGTGGTGGAATGACCTGTGGCTGAATGAGGGCTTTGCCTCCTACGTAGAGTATCTGGGTGCTGACTACGCAGAGCCCACCTGGAACCTGGTGAGTCCCAGCCGGGGTCGGGGGGCACCTGGGTCACATCGTCCCAGGCCAGAATCCTGATGGCTGTTGGGGATTTGCAGAAAGACCTCATAGTGCTGAATGACGTGTACCATGTGATGTCCATGGATGCGTTGGTCTCCTCCCACCCGCTGTCCACCCCCGCCGAGGAGATCAACACGCCGTCCCAGATCAGTGAGCTGTTTGATACCATCAGTTACAGCAAGGTGCTGCCCAGCCTCCCTGCAGGTCCTGAGAGAGGGGTGGGGCACGGGAGGGAGCTGGGAACTCACCTGCGGGGGGCCTCGCCACAGCTGGGGCTCTGGGGACACCTCGCCACCCACAGTGACACTGGGTCCTGGTAGCCATGCAGCCTTCTGAGCCACTCTCACCCCCACCCCAGGGTGCGTCGGTTCTCAGGATGCTCTCCAGCTTCCTGACTGAGGATGTGTTCAAGAAGGGCCTGGCCGTGAGTACAGCACCCCTGGCCAACCTGGGTGGGTTTCCTTCAGCCCCACCCCGTCCCCAGCCTTGCCCTGTGCAGCAGGGGATCCTGGGGGCACCGGCCAGGCCCTCACCGCAACTTGTCTCTCCACAGTCCTACCTCCAAGCCTTTGAGTACCAGAACACTGTCTACCTGGACCTGTGGGAGCACCTGCAGCAGGTGGGTGACAGTGAGGCTCCTCGAAGCCTTTCTGTCAGGATCCTGTCATGCCCCAAGTCCCTGGGGAAAGTACACGTGTGACAGAATGTGCCCAACTTCCTTACCGCCAGCCCAGGCAGGTCACTGGGAGCCTTAGTTTCTCATCTGTAAAATGGGAAACTTGACGGTGCTGGGGGACCGTGGGCAAGGCCCCTGGCCTGCAGCGGCTTCCAGCTCCACCATCAGCTCCATGGTGGGAGCTGTGGCATCTCTTTGTCTCAGTGGGGAGGACAGGGTCTGAGAGGGCTCTGAGTGTGAGCCCTCCTCCCCCAGGGACTTTGGAGCCAGTCATTCAACTAAGTTGGCACTCCCAAATGCCCTGTGCCCCTCGGCCCCTCCCGGGTACATCTTTGCACACTCCAGCACCTAGGCACAAACTCTGATCCTCCATCCTGCTCCACCCTGCATTCCTGCACCCCACCGCCTTCCCCAGAGGCCACTGCTTCCCGCCAGGCCCCTCCCGGGGCTAGAGTCCACGCTGTTCATCGGCCTCCTCTCCCATCATTTCCTCCCCTCACCGCTGCCCCTACCCTCCCCTGCAGCCCTCGCCCACCACCAGCCTCCTCTGCCCAGGACCTGGCCACTCCCCAGAACAAGAACCCCTGCCTCCACCTTCCCATTCAGTGTCCCCTGACCCCCCCCCCCCACTGTTGCTGCTGTCATTTTGGGCCCTGTGACCAATCGGCAAGGGCACATCCAGGGTCTTGTCACAGAGTCACAGCTGGGTGTGCTCCAGTTCCCTCTGGCTCAGTCTGCAGACTCATGGAAACAGGCCCCAGCCTGGTCTACCTCCCCCACCGCCAGACTGCCAGACTCAGCTGACTCTGCTGGATGAGATGGTCACGTCCCCAAATGTCTTCCTGGCCTTCAGCCAAGCCAGCCCCTCACTCCCTCCCTGCACTCCCGACCCCCTCACCCCCTCCTGCATCCAGCACCCCTCTTCCCTCAGCACTCCCTCTGAAGGGTCTCCTGCCCTGTTCTCAGGTGCTTTGTGTTTTCAGTTTATTAGCTGAATTTGTTGCCTTATTTTTGTTTGGTTGGCTTGGTTATTTTTTTGATGTTTGAGACAGGGTCTCACTATATAGCCAGGCTGGACTTGTGATCCTCCTGCCTCAGCCTCCCAAGTGCTGGGATTATAGACATGCACCACCATACCCTACAAGTTGTTGGCTTTTTGTTGTGATTGCAAAAGCAATGCCTACACGTTTGAAAATCATGAAAAGAGATTCAAGGAGAAAATAACAACACTCTAATCCCCATTCCCTCCTTTGTTGGTACATGCCCTTTGTACACCTCTATGACCTTGTCCTCGTCCAGCCTGTGACATCCATCGTGGGGTGCTGGTTCCCCCCCCTCCCCCGTCTCCTCCTCCTCCGCGTCCCCATTTTGTTCAGAAGGACATGGAGACACCTCTCTGACACACACGCACCCCAGTGTGGGCTGCACAGGTGGATGTGCTTGGTTGATATAGATGAACCAGAGACTGGGAGGTAATTTGGGGTGTCCAGCCCTGGGCAGCTAAGGAAAGGCAAAGCTGAATGGGGAACCCGGCTCCTGTCTCCCACAGAGGTGGCACCATGGGGGAGAGGCTGGAAGCTGCAGGGGCTGCTTGGGCAGATGGGACAGGACGATGGCTGTCCACTGACGGTCACATCATCTTCCTGTGCCCACAGGCTGTGAACGATTCAGGAATTGTACTTCCCTGCCCTGTGCGTGACATCATGGACCGCTGGATTCTGCAGATGGGCTTCCCGGTCATCACCGTGGACACTGATTCAGGGAGAATCTCCCAGGAGCACTTCCTCTTGGACAGCGAGGCCAATGTCACCCGGCCCTCAGAGTTTGGGTGAGCATTGGGCTCACTGAGGCCCAGGTCCCAGGGAAGAGGGAGTCAGGCCGGGTGGAGGGCATCCTTGTGGGCTCCTGGCTGTAGCAAGACCTGGCCTACTGTAGTCCCCCTGGATGTGGACGACCTCTCTGCCCAGGGCCAGGAGCACGGGGATGCTGGTCCCAGAGTGAGGCTGACATCCGGGAGCTCAGGCAGCTTTTCGCTGGTAGGGGCCAGGAGCTTCCGCCTCTTACCCCAGCCTCTGGGGCTCTCATTGTAGCTACCTGTGGATTGTGCCCATCTCGTCTGTCAGAAATGGCATGAAGCAGGACGATTATTGGCTGGAAGGCCAACAGACAGGTTAGCCGGGCCCCCACCCTACCCCTAACTCCTGGGAGTTCTGGGGTTTGGGATGGGGCTTAGTGAAGGTCCCCTTTTTGGTCTTACTTAACAAATGGAGCCTGTTGCTGCTGCCCAGCTGTGTGACATTGAGCAAGTTACCATCCTGCTCTGGTCTCCATTTCCTTGTCTATAAAGTAGACATCCAAAGCAGCATCCATTGGGTTGTGTGAGGATTGAAGGAGAAAATTCACATAAAATGCTTAAAACACTGAGGAAGCCAAGGTCAAGGCCAGTCATTCTGGGCCATGGCCAAGGCTATAGATAAAGGGAAGGTAGAGGAGCTGTTGAAAACATTTCATACAGCGCTGTGTGACTGGGGCTGCAGGGGCAGGGACAGGGAATAAGGGAGACTGAATTTGATGGAGAGAGCAGGGAAGTCTTCCTTCAGGAGAGCTGAGTCATAGAGAAATAAGAGTCAGGCAGGCAAGGGAGGCAGAGGGGTCAGTCAGCGGTGGCCTTCTGAGGAGACCCCACACACAGCTCTGGTCCTTCCCCGCAGCCCAGAACGATCTGTTCAAAACGTCAGGGAGTGACTGGCTACTGCTGAACATCAACGTGACAGGCTATTACCAGGTCAACTACGATGAAAACAACTGGAAGAGAATTCAGGATCAGCTGCAGACAGACCTGTCGGTGGGTGTCTGCCACCCCTGTCCCCTGCCCAAAAACGGGCACCAGACTGTAAGGCCTGCCCCCCCCCACCATCAACCTAAGGTCACACACTCTGTTTCCTGTTCTAGGTCATCCCCGTCATCAATAGGGCACAGATTATCAATGATGCCTTCAACCTGGCCAGGTGGGTCCACTCCCCAGCTCAGCACAGAGGTGTCTGATGGACTTGGGGGTGCGGGCTGTGGTTCCTGCTAGGTGCTGGGCAGGAGCTCCCTGCCCATCCTCCCTTAGCCGCCACACGCCCATTTCACAGATGAGGAATGTGACACGCGCAGTTGGAGTACCTTCCTCGAGGTCACACGGTAGCCCATGACAGCCAGACACTGGCCTGTCCAGTTCTGCTGTTCACATCCTGCTTCACGGTTCCTCCAGCTTTCCCAGAGGACTGACTATGCACCAGCCACCATGTTTGGTGCTAAAAAAAAAAAAATCTAAAATGAGCAGGGCGGAAGGACATGGCAGATAGACAAGTATTTACGGAGCACCTATTCTGTTCATGCCAGGGGCTGAGCGCTGACAGGAGCAACGTCACACATAGACACAGACATTTGTGGACCAAATGTGCGTCTGTGGCCTGAGGAGGAGTGGGGAGGGGAGCTCAGCAAGACACAGAGTTAAGAGCAGGAACCTTAGTTGGGTGCCAGTGGCTCACACTTGTAATCCCAGCTACTCAGGAAGCAGAGACCAAGAGGATCACAGTTTGAAGCCAGCCCAGGGAAATAGTTCACCAAAGACCCTATCTGGCAAATACCCAAGATGAGACAGGGCTCGCAGAGTGGCTCAAGAGGGCCTTCCCAGTAAGCACGAGGCCCTGAGTTCAAACTCTAGTACTGCAAAAAAAAAAAAAAGGGCAGGGACCTTTTGTCTTTTTAAATCTCAGCTCTGTTTGCAATAAACTGTGTGGCCTCAGGCAAGTCAGTTCACTTCTCTGTTGTCTTCATCTATAGAATGGGTTAGTATAAAAGGAAATGTGCCTGACAATGGGTTCGGGCAGGGCTTGGTTTGTGGCACCACCCATGTCATTCCTACCCGGGTGCAAATGCTGGAGCTGGCTTGGTTGGGGCTATGGCTCTGGGAGGAGACAGGGGACCCAGGATTGGGGTGCACCCTTGAGGGCCTGCTGGGATCCCAGCCTGTAGTTTTGTTGTGTGGTTGCTTACTTGGGCTCTTCTGTTTGTCCCCAGTGCTCAAAAGATCCCTGTCACTCTGGCTCTGAACAACACCCTCTTCCTGACCCAAGAGACAGAGTACATGCCCTGGGAGGCTGCCCTGAACAGCCTCAACTACTTCAAGCTCATGTTTGACCGCTCCGAGGTCTATGGCCCCATGAAGGTATGGAGTTGAGGGTCAGGGTTCAAGAACCAGTTCAAAACCAGTGACTGAAATCGCACCACTGGGAGGTTAAGAGAGGTGTGGCTGACCAAGTCCTTCTCCTGGACTAGCTCGAGGAAGGGGTGGCAGTGGGAGGGGGATAACAGGAGAAGAGTAGAGGGACACCAAAGGGACACGGAGACTTGCAGCAAAGTTTGCTGGTTTGACACATGGGAAATCCGTGCTTTTGGAAGACATCTTTGTGCTAGGGGACAGAAGGACCTATCTTTTCTCAGCCGTGTGGCCTTGGGCAGCCTTTCTCAGCCTGTCAAGGCCTCTGTAAGAGGGACAGGTCCTTACCTGCCCAGTCTCCCTCCCGGTCTGTGAGGGAGAAACTGGTCTTACCAGGCATGGGTGTGTTTTTAATGCTAAGCACAGTGGCATAGTTGGGGGACAAAAGGAAAATGGAAGTCGTTCAGGATGAAGCTGCATCCATAACAAACACACAGGTACTTAATTGACTATCAGTTGGGGATTGGTTCAGTTGAAGTGGAATATCCATTTGATGGAATGTTACATGGCCATTAGATCACGCTCAAAGTGTTGGGTTTTTTAATTATTAAAAAAGTTTAAATAGGACTGGCAGAAATGGCTTAATTGTTAGAACACCTGCCTAGCAACATGATGTCCTGAGTTCAAACCCCAGAACAGCAAAAAAAAAAAAAAAAGTTTAAAAATTATCTATTAACATCCTATTATGTAAATGAAGTATTTTGGTACATGTGAAGTTTTAACTCTTCCCTGCCTTCCTGACTCCTCATGCAGTTAAATTGTAATACTTGGTCGAATGAATACACAGCACTTGCTTTACATCGATGACGTCAATATTCTCTGCTGAGCCACCTGGAGTGCTGTGTTTGTGTTTCCTTTTTGGTCAGCCTTCACAGCGTGGCTTTTTCCTGGAGGCTCCCCTGGAGGTCTCTGTCCACCAGCCTCCCTCCCAGAACTGCCTCTCAGCGCCATGCCAAGAGGCTCCGCCTCCGTCCCACACTTCCTGCTTCCTGAAACCCATGGCTTCTTTCTTGGTTTTCCTCTCTTATCGGGGAGCGCATTTTCCAGGAGTTCTGAGAAAAGGGTTCATGACAGTGGGCTTCCTGAGGTACATTGTCTGAAAGTCTTTATTCTACTCTCACACCGAGGGTTCAAGGTAGAGGTTTCTAGGTTGGAAATTACTTCTCAGATTGCTATGACACCTGTTGACATCAGGCGTCTTGTGTTGTTGCTGGAAAGCCCAGGGCTTTTCTCATTTCCAGTTCTTGGCATGTGACTAGTTTCCCTCTTTCTGAAAGCTTTTGGGCTCTTCTGGAAATCTTGGTGGGCCTTGGATTGGGTCTTTTCTTGACTTTCTATGTGTTTCATTCTGGACATTCACGTCCTTCAGCATCAGAACATTTTTGCATGGCATCGTTGAAGTTCCTTTCTGTTTTCTAGCTATCTCTTGCTTGAATCCCTGATAACCCAGCTGCTTTCTCTTGCCCTGGCCCTGCAGCTCTCAGCTCTTCTGGTTTCCAGCCTGTTGACTTTTGGCTCTGCCCTTTGGGAGGGTCCCCTCTGCTTGTGCATGCCTCCCGGCCTGGACACGTTTTCAAATCCCAAGCATTCTTTCTGGTTCTAGAGTCTTGCTCAATACTTTCCCTTGGAGGATGTCTATTGCAGGCTTTTTGAAGTTTTCCTTCTCTTCTGTTGTTTCCTCTGAGTTTTGTTTGTTTTGGTCTCCCTTCAAGCTGGAGGCTGGAATTGAAAGTGAAAAACCACCAGAAGCCATGCTGGTGTTGGCAGCATGCATCCTAGAGCTGGAAACTTACAGAGAAGATTGACTGAGCTCAGGGATGACACCAAAAATTGTACTGCTCTCCATATTTGAAAAAAACCAAAGAAAGCTTTGTGGGGAGGTGGAGTTTGTCCTCTGGGAGGGACTCATTTCGGGGTGATCTGGTGACCAAGTATTTCTTTACTCCAGATCTTCAAAAATTAAGGACTGGGGGTGTAGCTCAGTGGTAGAGCAAGGCCCAGGGTTCATTCCTGGCACCACAAGAAAAAAATCAGTGACCACTGTATCTGGAGACCCTGAATCTCCAGCTGCTCTGGTCCTCTGTCGAGTGCACATGGGTAGGAAGGAAAGTGACTTCTTTAGACTTTGACCCCATCTCCCTGCTTGCAGCCCTGCCTCACCCCTGCAGAACAGCTCTTTAATTCTGAGCTTTGTCACAGCAAGTCGCCCTTCTGCAGACACTTGATCGCAAATTCGTCCCTCTATATTTACCAGCTGCCAAACTCTGTTAGCGTCATAGCCACCATTGCCCCCCCCCCCCGCATTATCTTTGGGTTAGGGGGTCAGGTTTTTTTTTTTTGGTGCTGGGGACTGAACCCAGGGCCTCAGATTGCCAGGCGAGTAATTCAAGTACCACTTGAATTATATTCCTTCTCTCTCCGCTTTTTTTGAGACAGGGTCTTGCTAAATGGCACTGGCTGGCCTTGAACTCACTGTGTAGACCAGGCCAGCCTTGGACTTTCTATCCTCCTGCCTCCTCCTGAGTAGCTAGGATTATAGGCATGTCCCACCCTGCCTGGCCAGCGTGTATGTGTGGGGTTGATTCCTTTTACCTTTGGATGTGATTCAGCTTGGCACAGAAGTCAGTCCGCCACGTGGACCAGAGTTCACAAAGGATTTTAATAACATGGTGTGGAACTGACATTACAAGGTCAGGTAGAAAGAGCAGCATGCAGAATTGTAGATGCACTAGGTGGAAAAGAAAAGGGGAAGAATAAGAAGGAATAAATTCACCAATTTGGAAACCATAGTTTTCATCATCTTCTGCATGTTTTTTTTTTTTTTATCAAGTTGGAACACGCTGTCCTGTGTTTCCTAAATTCCCCACAATAAGCCTGGAATCCTTTTGTTGGCTTTACATTAAGAAATGGTGATGCATGGTGCTGGTGAAGTGTCTCAAGTGGTAGAGCACCTGCCTAGCATGAGGCCTCAGTTCAAATCCCAGTACCTCAAAAACAAAAGAAAAGAAACAGTGATGCTTAAGCCGGGCACCAGTGGTGCACACCTGTAATCCAGGCTCCTTGGGAGGCTGAGATCAGGAGGATTGAGAATCAAGGCCAACCCCAGGCAAGTAGTTCCCAAGACCCTATCTCCCAAATAACCAGAGCAAAATGGATTGGAGGTGTGGCTGCATGAAGCCCTGAGTTCAAACCCCAGTCCCACCAAAAACAAAACAAAAAGCCGTGATGCTTAGGCAGAGGGTGAGAACTGAAACCTGCACTGGAGCCGGCCCCTTTGGAGGCTCTGGCCTGGGCAAGACCTTGACCTCTTGCTCCTTCCAGCGGCTGTCCACTCCCACAGAGGCTCGTGGGCCCTGGGCAGGTCTGCATGAGTCTTTGAAGCTGTCCCTGTGTTGTTCTTCTCAGAGCTACCTGAGGAAGCAGGTCACGCCCCTCTTCCAGTACTTCAAAAATCTCACCAGCAACTGGACCCAGCGCCCACCGACCCTGATGGAGCAGTGAGTGTGACCTGTGGGGGTCTGGAGTCACGGGTGACCTGGGAAGTGGGGAGCAGCGCCTGGCGGTGTTCTCTGGAGCTCTTGAAGCCTGGCCCAGGGCAGGGCCACTAAGATGAAGGGACATCACCCAGGAGCACAGGGCTCTGTCTTGAGGCTCTGCATGACCTGGGGGCCATCTGGCCTCTTTTTCCTTTTTCTTTTTCTTCTTCCCCCCTCCCTCCCTCCCTCCTTCCCTCCTTCCCTCTCTCCCTTCCTTTCTTTTTGAGACAGAGTCTCATTATACAAACCCAGGCTGGCTTTGAACTCGAAATCATCCTGCTTCAGCCTCTGGGGTGCTGGGATTACAGGCATGCACCACCACGCCTGGCTCCCATCTGGCTTCTTGTTTGTTTATTGATTTTCGTCTCCCATCTGGCTTCTTTATACAAAGACACAAACTGAAACTTTGAGGCCACCTCAGCAGCTCCAGGTCATGTGGCTTCCTGCTGTTGAACTTGGGGCTGAGGCCTGTGGGTCTCTGGACTGTTTTGAATACTAAGGAGGCTCAGAGCAAGGCATGAAGCCAAGGGAGAGAGAGGCCCAAGTTGTTGGACGGGGTCCCTGTCTGGAGCTGTGGCAGGAGTTAAATCTCGGCTGAGTCTGGACCCGGTGTGCTCACTGCGTGTCCCCTGGGGCAGGTACAATGAGATTAATGCCATCAGCACGGCCTGCACCAACGGGCTTGACGAGTGTAAGGAGCTGGTCACCAGGCTTTTCAGCGAGTGGATGAATGACTCCTCTAATAACCCGTGAGTGTCCCCCCCGCGTGCCGCCCCCCATTGCCCCTCAGCTTAAGCCGGGAGCCCGAGGCCCTGTCCTCAGCATCCCCTCGTCCCACCCTCGCCGCTGCTGCCTCGCACCTGACCCCTGCCCACCTCCAGGATCCACCCCAACCTGCGGTCCACCGTCTACTGCAACGCCATCGCCGAGGGCGGGGAGGAGGAGTGGGACTTTGCCTGGGAGCAGTTCCGGAGCGCCACCCTGGTAAATGAGGCAGACAAACTCCGAACAGCCCTAGCGTGCAGCAACCAGGTGTGGATTCTGAACAGGTGAGGACCTGGCCAGGGGGGCTGGCAGAGCCCCCCTTCATTGTACCCCACCTGGGTGGCTGGGGTCGTGTCCTCACCCCCATTTTACAGATGAGGCTGCAGAGAAACAAGGCACTGCAGAAAGGCGACAGCTTTAATAAGTGATAGAGCTAAGACTCGAACCCAGGTCCTTGCTTTTTACCTGCTGTGACCTCTTAGCCTTTCCTGAGCCCATTTCCTGCTCTGGCTGGCTGGGCCTGTGTCTTAGGCTATCTGCCCCTCAACCCTCGCATATGTCTCCTTGTGACCCCTGTGTAAGTCACCTGTCATCACCCCAAAGAGCCCCCCAACGTCAAGGCGAGGAGCGGCTGCCCTCCCGGTGCGAGGACTTGAGGCGTGGGTATTCCTTCCCTTATTTGCTCCGTCAGATATTTCCACGTCAGGCACACAGTTGGCATAGCCAGTGACCCTGTGACCTGCTCAGGTGACTCAGCTTCTCGGATCCCAAGGGGTCTGGGAGATGCAGGCAGAGGTGATGTGGGTGTGAGCGAGCAGGTCCCGTGTCACACGGCCACAGCTGGAGTGGTCACTAACCGGCCTCCCGCCCACAGGTACCTGAGCTACACCCTGAACCCCGACCTCATCCGGAAGCAGGACGCCACCAGCACCATCAATAACATTGCTAGCAATGTGGTTGGGCAGACCTTGGTCTGGGACTTCGTCAGAAGCAACTGGAAGAAGCTGTTTGAGGAGTGAGTCTGCAGAGGGGGTCGGGGATTGCAGACCAGGGCTCGGGCCCAGGGGTGCTGTGTGTGCCCTGGGTGCGGGGGGCCACGGGATGGGGGTCCCGGGAAAACCAGCGTGAGGGATGGGCTGTCCATCTCCCCACTTGGAAAGAAAATGTGCCAGGCCGGGTAGAGGAAAGAGGAGGGTGCCAGGGACCTGGGTTCAAGTCCAGTCGTTTCCTCCCCTCCTGCCCGTGTCACCAGGGGTGTTCATTTCAGGTCTCCACTCATCCCTCAGCAAGGGGTTGGGAGGGTCTGTGTGGCCCGCCAGCTCCAGGTCTCACTCTTCACCCTCTCCCCACCCCACAGTTATGGCGGAGGCTCCTTCTCCTTCTCCAACCTCATCCAGGCGGTGACCAGGCGCTTCTCCACCGAGTATGAGCTGCAGCAGGTAAGAGGTCCCAGCTCTGTCCCCTGTCCAGGCGCTTCCCAGTCTAAGGTGGCAGCTGCCATTCGCACAGTGTCACCAGGCTGAGGGGCCAGACTCTGTAAGTGTTGGCAATTCCATCCAAAAAGAATGCATCTCGTGTTCTAGAAATTTCCACATTGTAGAGTGGGCGGTTTGCCCCTCCCCCTCCTGATTGAGATTGGAATATTGCACAATGACAGTCAGATAGCTTCTGAGCCAGACCCTGCATGGGGCTGTGATTTTGCAACCTCTGGGTACATGAGGACTTTGCTCCAGCCAGAGGTGAAGGACTGGACCTTCTGTCCGGGGACAGGGTGTGGTCCCCATCCCTGGGGGGCCTGCCCAAGGTAGGGGAGCCCCTCCTCCCCTCCTCTCCCCTCCAGGGTGGGCCACAGACCCAGCTTGGGGCTGAGAGTCTGCGTTTTCCTGGCAGCTGGAGCAGTTCAAGCAGGACAACATAGAGACAGGCTTTGGCTCGGGCACCCGGGCTCTGGAGCAAGCTCTGGAAAAGACCAAAACCAACATCAAGTGGGTGAAAGAAAACAAGGAGTCCGTGTTGAAGTGGTTCACAGAAAACAGCCAGTAGTTCCCAGTCCTTCAAGTCACTGCTCCGTGGATGCCTGTGACTACGAGTCTCAGCAGCCTGTGACAGGGCCTCCATTCTCCGAGCCTCAGACACCAGTGTCTTACCCTCAAGGACAAAGTCTCCAGCCCATGGGGCCCATCTAGGTCCTAATGGCCGGGCTGTCCACACCCCTCCAAGCCCTGTCCTCCGTGCCAACACTGCCCTAGGCCTGGCCTGGTACCTGGCACCCAGGGCCCCGGGGCTGATCTCAGGGAAGCCCAAATTCAGGGCCAGATGAATGGAAGCCCTTGGTGGACAATGGGTGGCCTTGAGGGGACCGCCCTGAACCCTCACCTTCCGATGGGGACCCTGAACCCAAGGAATCCACAGGGCACCAGATCTGTATATTTTTTTTCTAAGAGAAAATGTAAATAAAGAATTTCTACATGAGCTGGGAGACTTCTCTGACTTCAGCTGAAACAGAGTGGCTTAGCACAACATCTGGTGGGGGGGAGGTGGCCACAGGGGTGCAGGGGTCATACTGTGGAGCTGGGACCCCAGAGAGCAAAGTAGAGAGAGGTGCCAGCCCTCCCTGTGCCTGTGCAGTGGTGCCAGCCTGCAGGTTCCTTTCAGCCCCTTCCAGTGGCAGACTCTGGGGAGCTCTGGGAGGTGGCATCTGGACAGCAGTGGACCCAGTAACTCCCAACGGGGTGGTGAGAGCACAGACCAGGCCCTGCAGTGTGGAGGGAGTGCTTTTCCTGACAGCATCCATCCTAGCTGGAGGCCAGGGAGCAGGGTGCTGGCTGCATCCTCTCCCTGTGCTACAGGGAGCACGCAGGACACCTGTGACAGTGGGGGAAGGGTCAGTGTAGTGGGGGGACAAACCCAGGGGGCCAAGCCATAGCCAAGGGGCTGTCCCGCCCCCTCTGGACACCATGGCGGGTATTTTTACAAATAGGACATTTTCTAGGGTTGGGCTGAGGACTAGAGGCTGGCAAGCCACCAGGTAAGGAGAACGCTTGGCCAGGCTTGGAAAATGGCTATACCCTGCAAGTCACCTGGGGCAGCTGGTGGCCAGTGCTGAAAAGATGCTGTGGCCCCTGGGGACAGAGGGAGCCCAGTTGTAGAGAGCTCACCTCGGCATCAGCCCCACAAGGCCCTGGGAAAGAAGGAGGTACCCAACAGCCACAGGGGTCCTCTGGTCACCAACTGCCACCATAGCCAACGCCTCAGCTGGAACCTTAGAGGCCTGGTTTTAGACGGGAAGCCCGGCTGCAATCCCGACTCTTGAGTCTCAGTCTCCTCGCGGGTACAATGTGCCTGGTGGATGGATTCAGGGAGGTTCACTACTTAGCATGTGGCCTGACACTTAGAGCTCAGTATTGTCACCCTTACCCCATCTCCTGGCCCCAGGCCCCCACCAGCTGTCCTTCACCCTCCTCCCCCAGGTGTGAAGCAGGCGCCAGGCCTCCCCACTCTCTACCTCCATGTGCACATCAAAGGTAGGGCAGGCCCCAGACTAAACCCCAGGCCCCTCCACTCCACACACCAGCCCTTCCTGTCGCCAGTACCCAGCAGCCCTGGCTGGCACTTGACCTTCGGGGCTCCAGCTGGGGGAGGGGCCAACCTCACTGGTTTGGGTGCCTGGTGGGTTCTGTGCTCCAGGGCCGTTGCAGTTGACTGCCAGAGAGCAGAGTCCACCTGGATCCATTTATCCTCTGTGCCTGGCATTGGCTGAGCTGTCTGATGGGCAGTGAGGACAGTCTTTAGCTCAGCTTTTAAAAAATTATCTTATTTATTTATTTTCTGCAGTGCTGGGGATGGAGTCTAGGCTCTTACACGTTAGGTAAGTGTTCTAGCACTGAGCTACACCTCCAGCCCTATGTTAGTTTTACAGATAAGGAAACTGAGTCATGGGAGCTTAAGTCACAGCTCAGTGGCTGGAACTGGATTCTAATCCTACCCATAAGCAGAATCCCACCCTTTACCTGGAGCTGGGACAGGGACTGTGACATCCACACTGAGTGCACATGTCACCTGTCAGCTTGCAATTCTGGCTTCATAAGGTCCGGAAAGTTCTGCCTGCAGAAGCTTGGTCAAGGTCACAGAGTGGAAGTTACCTAGAACTGGTCACCAGAGTTTTAGGCAGCAGCCCAGGCTCTGGGAGTCCCAGTACACCACCAGTCCCAACACGCCAATTAAAGGGACAGTAGTGGGGCCAGGCAGAGAAAGAATCCATGTGGCCACATCAGGAAGCGTAGATAATGGGGTTCAGTGACCCCCAGGTCTGTCTTGAGGGGCTAACAGGAATGCTGAGATTTTATAGAAAAGAGGGACCAAGGAGAGTGTGAACGTCTAGCTGACAGAGCAGGCAGCCTTGGGCAGCCAGCGGTCTGATTCTGGTTCTCCAGGGTTCCTGAGAAGATCTTATGGCTGTCATCACTTGAGGGGAGCAAGCTGGTCCCCAAGGGATAATTACTCCTGCTCGAGGATGGCAGCCTCACCATCCTGGGTCATTGCCTTCATTTGGGGGCGGCTCTCATCTTTGCTGGGGGGGGGGTAGTTTTGGTCCTTTGTTATAAAGATGTTATCAGTCATTCCTGTCCTTTCTAGAATCCAAGATAACTGCAGGAGAGAGTGACTAAGGAGGGAAAGTTAAGGAGGCAAAAAACAGAGCCAGAAGGGCTGGTGGAGAGGCTCAGGTGGTAGAATATCTGCCCAGCAAGCATGAGGCCCTGAGTTCAAATCTCAGTACCACCAAAATGTTAAAATTAAAAAAAACAACAACAGAGCCAGAGAGGGATAAAATGGAGTTAGGTAGGCCAGTGACCAGAGCCCTCCTTCAAATTTGAGCTGCCAACTACGGGTTCAGCTCTGCCTGTCAGTCGTGGACCCGTCGGCACTGCTGAAGATGGAAGGTATGGCAGATGGGCAGCAGGTGGCTCCTCAACCCTGGCTCCAGAAACTGAGGGCTCAGCCTAGATGAGATGGTCGTGGTCCTAAGCCAAGCATTTCACTGCTCCAGGCCCCAGCTGCCAGCCTGGAAGGCCTGGGGGAGGTACTTAGCCAGCGTCTCCTTGGGATGGTGCCTAGGGTCCCCAGGAAGGTGAGCCACCGGACATCCAGGCAGGGCGCCAGCATCAGCCTCTCTCTCTCTTCTGCTGGCACAGACCAAAGAGGTGCAGCCCAGGACAGCCTGCCACAGACAGAGCCATGCACAGGTGACAGGTTTCGTTCGTGAGAGGCAGGGCTGAGCCTTCCCTGCTGCAGTGGAGCAGACCACAGGGGTAGGAGTTACCCTGAGCTGCCCAGGGCCTCTAGAGGCCAGAATGTCTTGTCTCCCACAAAATTCCATCCTATATAGTTCCCGCTGGGGTGGAGTCTGGGGGTGGGGCTCTTGCTTTTGCCTTCCTGGGCCTTAGAGGCACATGTGGAGGGAGCTGGGGACCCAGGTTGCCAAATTCCAGAAGATTCTTATATCCAGCTGCAGACCTACCCAAGCCCTGTGGAAAGACAAAGGGATGGGGGTGGGGGGCTCTCCAGGCAAAGTCCCTCCCTTGCCCTACAAGGAGCCCCCAGAAGGAGGCAGGCCGTGGTCTAGTGCTGCCTTTGGCACAGAGGACATGACACTGGAGCCGAGATCCTTCTTGGGAAGGAGAGAGCCCTGGATGTGATACCCAAACCTCACTGGGACCACGGGAAGTTGCTCTCTTCCTGGGCCTCAGTTTCCTCAGCTGTGAAATGGAATGAAGATAATTCATTGCTCCCACACCTTGCCAGGCCTCAGAGTCTCCTGGAAAGGACCTGGGGATCAGGGACGCTGTCATACTCTGAGAGGGACACTGAGGCCAGACGGTTCAACGCGCAGCTAGGTTTGGGAACCAGTGGGCTAGGTCATCTAGTCAGCTTGCGTTTTACTGACCATTTATCATGAGCATAAGGACCCTGAGGGGCAGGTAGGTTCTGTTGTCACCCCTTTCAAGATTGGAGAAGCAGGCTCAGGGCGAGTCCAAAGCTCACACCCGGTCACACCTCGAGGAAGAATGGGTGCTGAGGTCCAAGGCCTGTCTGTGCCCTGACAGGGTTTCTCTGTCCTTTCCAGGATGACTGGCAGTCCCTAGGGACAGTAGGGCCCTGAGCTGGGGACCAGATCAACTGTAGGAGGATAGAGGAAGAAGGCCCCACAGTCTGTTCCTATTTATTTATTTCTTTTCTTTTTTTTTTGTTTTCATTTTTTTTTTCGTGTTCCTCTTTTAGTAGATGTGAAAACTGAGGCTCAGAGGGAAAGTGACTTGCCTGATGTTACAAGGCAATGCAGTGCCACACAGGACCAGGTGGGAGGCTCTGTGAAGGACCAAGAGTTCAACCTGGGCTGTTATGGTGGCCTCTGGGCCTGGCTCCTGTTCTATGAAGCGGCCACAGGGCCCAAGAGCCCCTCTGACCATCTTAGCCTGACTCCCAGCCTCCACTGCCTCCTACCACCTCATCACACCCCACAGGGCTCCGCTGTGCCTCGCCTCCCCAGGGCTCTTTCTCTAGCTCTACTCGACTCTCCCGTTCACTCGAGACACAGACTGCCTCCGTCCTAACGTGGCTCCCATGTTCCTTCTTTCTTCCTGAGTCGCTCTTCCCTTGATCCTCTTGGCAAACTCCTGTACATTCTTCAATGCCTGGCCCCAAGGTCACTTCTAACTCCTCTGCTCTGAGTCAGCAGATACAGAAGGAGGTCACACCACGGCTGGCTCCCAAGTCCACAAGTTTTTGCAAATGAACCATGGTAACCATTCCCCGAGATCCCTGAGTGCCTCTTGTTCTTACTTAAGATAGCTCAGGCTGGATGCAGTGGTTCACACCTGTAATCCCAGCTACTCAGAAGATAGACATCAGAGAGGGCAGACCCTATCTGAACAATAACTAGAGCAAAAAAAAGGCAGGGGAGGAAGTTGGGAGTGTGGCTCAAGTGACAGAGCACCTGCCTAGCAAGCATGAGCCCTGAGTTCAAACCCCAGTACCACCAAAAAACAAGAGAAAACCCCGCCAGTATGTACCCACCCCCCCAAAAAAAAGCCATATGAAGGCAACAGCGCTCATGAGTCAGTGTCTCAAGAATGACACTGTAATGTCAACCCCACTTCCTATCAGGCTGTCCCATCTCCCTGGTCCCAGTGCACCTGTAGGAACCCTGGGTACCCATCACTCATTTCCCCATAGTTCACCTCATTGGCTGGGGAGTAATTTCTCTCTGGCAGTTACCATCATGTGTTGAGGGATAAACCGTGTCACGCTCAAGTTCATGTTTAAGTCCTGCTGTAGTTTGGATCTCAAATAGTCCCCAAAGTTCCACCTGTTAGAGTTAGTGGCCCGAGGGGTGCTTGCAGGAGGTCCTTAGGTTGTGGGGGGCATGCCCCTGAAGGGATGGCAGGACACAGGTCTCTCCCTCTTCCTCTTTGTGTCCAGGCTTCTGATGTGAACTGTTCGCTCCACACAGATGCCTCGTGGTGCGCTGTACTTGCTAGGGATTCAAATGAAGCAACTGGGTCTTAGGCTGAACCCTCCAGAACCATGAGACAAAATGAACCTCTTTTTAATTCACTTGTCTCAGGGATTTTGTCAGTGATGGAAAACTCCCTACGCTCCAATACCTCTGAATGTGATTTTATTTGTAGAAGGACCCTTCCAAGAGGTAATCAAATTACTTTTTTTTTTTGATGGCACTGGAGTTTGAACTAAGGGCCTGGCACATGCTAGACAGGCACTCTACCACTTGAGCCACTCTGCCAGCCCTTTTTTTGTATTGGGTATTTTTGAGAGAGGGTCCCGAGAACTATTTGCCCAGGCTGGCTTCAAACTGCGATCCTCCTGATCTCTGCCTCCTGAGTAGAAAGGATTACAGGTGTGAGCCACCAGCGCCTGGCACCAAGTTACTTCTTATCCTGTACCACTGGTATCCTTAGAAGAGATTCGGACCCAGACAAAACAGGAGGCCACCTGCAAGCCAAGGAAAGAGGCCTCAGAAGCAACCAAACCCGCCAAAGCCTTGACCCAGAACTGGGAAAATAAACTTCTATTACTGAGACTTTCTTGTCAGTGGCATTTTGCAGTTAACACACTGGGTCTAGCACAGAAAGGCCACTCACTGCAGCCTTTGCAAAAACTCCTTTTTCTTGTAAAACAGCTCTAACTCGCAGGTCTCCAGCACCCCCACTTTGGGGCCCTGTTGGTCCATGACTGCACTCACCCACTCTGCCACAGGTCAGTGGGAAAGCACCCAGAAGAAAGCAAAGAAACAGGGGTAAGACAAGTGAGCAGCAGGCCTCAGCCACAGCCCACCTGTGCCACCCTTTATGCTAAGCCCTGAAGCCTGGGCACAATAAATATTGTCGGATTGGCAAGTAAGACTCCATGTCAACTCTGGTAGCTTGGGTTCAAGGAGGGAGAGGGAAGCAGGCTTGTTCCCCCCACACGGGAACAATTTTCCTTTCCCAGAGGCAAGGAAAGCCTAGGTTCATAGAAGAAATACAGAACACACCAAATTTTTGTTGAAAATTTTTTTAAAGAATTACAAAATAAGCATATAGGAGTCTGGTCACCAGCCACCAAGATGCAGAGCACAGGCTGGCCCCATACCCCTCCCTTAACTTCCCCAGCCTGGCCTCCTTTGGGGTCAAGTGCCCCATTCCCAGAGCTGCTCAGTCTGCTCTGCAGAGCACTGAGCGATCTGGAGGTGCCTAGCAGTGGAGGGCACTGCCACAGCCCCCACTCCAGCAGGAGGACACCTGCTATCCATATGTTCCAGACACTGTTTCACAAAAGGTGTTACTTGGAAAAAACAAAGCTTAAAAAAACACCAAGAAGCAAACAAGGCGTCCACACGCAGGCCTGACTCTGGGCTGCACAGGGGGCCGGTGAGACCACTAGTAGAAGACGCTCCGGTGTGTCTCCTCCAGATCCTCTTGCCAAAGCTCGGGGGAGCCACTGAGCTGCAGGCCTGAGCTGGGACTAGGGCTCACTGTGTGGAGTGGGAAGGTGGGGCCAGGACCCTGGTCCTCAGAACTGGGGAGCATCTGTGCACTGTGGCCCCAGCACCCCCTCTCGGGCTGAGGCTGGAGTCTCTGGCATGATGGCCGGGACAGGAGAGGTGGGCTTCCCAGTGGCAGACAGGATTCTGGAGACACGGAGACACCCTGCAAGAGAGACAGAGCAGCTTGTCAGCTGGCTGCCGCCCAGAGACCCCGAGCCTGGAGGTTTACCTGGGTGTGGTTGCTGGTGTCTGGCAGCCTGGGTGCCATGGGTACAGGGAGTCAACAGGTTAAGATCACCGGCTCAGAAGATGTGTAGACCAACCTTCACATCCCAGCCCTGCTACTCACTAGCTATGAGAACTCTTTTTGTTTCAGTTTTCAAAAAAAGGGGTGCTAGCACCAGCATCACAGGGTTTTAGAAGCGTTCAGTGAATGAAAACATGCAAAGTTCCAAGAACAGAGAGGGAAGGCGGTTAAGCGTTTAATTAAAGTTGGTTATTAACTCAGGGCTTTGCGCTTGCTAGGCAGGCGCCCTACCACTTGAACCACTCCAGTTCTTTTTGGCTTTATTTTTCCCATGGGGTCTGTGTTTCTGAAGAGCCAGCCTGGACCTCGATTCTCCTATTTATGATTACAAATAGTTAGGAAGACAGGCATCCGCTACTACACGTGGCCATTGAGTTGGGATCTCTCCAACTTTTTGCCCCAGCTAGTCTTGAATCGTGATCCTTCTTTTCTGCCCCGGAGTAGCTGAGATTACAGGCGTGAGCCATCCCTGGACCTACTACTATCCTTTACAGACCACAAGTCATTCATGAATGAATGAAGCTTGAAGAAAACAGTAAGGTCACCAACTTCAGGCTACTGTACGGGAGAGAGGTCCTCATCCCTGTCCACCCCCGTCCACTGCGCTTAGTGAAGCACTTAGAATTTCCTGCCCACGCAAGCTTTCTCCCTCCACCTCCCACCCTAGTCTCGCTCCAGGTCCAAATCCGAGGGCTCCTCTCTTCCTCAGGTGTCAAGACTGCTGGGTGGCAGGATGGTGACGTGGTGGTGGCTTTAACTTCCCGGGGTGGGGTGCGAGGGGAGGGAGAACCTCCCCATTCCCCTAAGAAGGTTAGATTTCCTTCATCCTCCCCTCCATTAGACTCCCCAAAATCTGAAAAGTCAGAGATCCCCTGCAGATGCCGACCAGCGACTATGCCTGCACCCCCTTTCCAAAGAAACCCGGGGTCCCCACTTCCTACCTGGTACACCTCAGTCAGCTCTGGGGGCGCGGGGGGCGGAGTCCAGGGTGCAGCGCGGTTCCCAGGCCCAGGGGAGGTCTGCGTCTGGGGACAGACTTGGGGTGACACCGTCCATGGAGACGCCGCATCGGGGGCTCTCCCTAGGGACTGATGCTGGGGCGACAGTATCTTGGGGCAGTAAGGGGGTGTTATCCAAGGATCTGCATTGGACACACTGCTCCCCAAATCCTGGGGTCCGGGTCGGGTGGGTGGGGACTCCCAGGTGGCCCCGTGGCAGATGGCCGAGCCCAGGCTGGGACCGCCACTACCAGGGCCACCACCAGGGCCGCCGTCGGGGCAGAGCGGGCAGCAGCAGCCCCGAGGGGACGCGGCGTCCGCACGTCGCCGGCGGCGCTGCAGACCGTCGTCGCTGAGGCCCAGCACGGCCGACAGGTGGCCGATGTAGCGGATGGCCAGGCGCAGCGTCTCGATCTTGGTGAGGCGCTGGCCGGCGGGCGCCACGGCGGGCGGCAGGAAGCGGCGCAGCTCGTGCAGGGCGCGGGCGAGCGTGCGCATGCGCAGTTTCTCGCGCTCGCTGGCGCTCTGCCGCGGGCCGTCGGCGGGAACGCGGCGCGGGCGTCGGGGCGCCGTCGGGACGCGGGCGGCGGGCGGCGGCGGCGGCTGCGAGGAGCCGCGGACCGTGCTGTCGCAGGGACACGAGCTGCCGGAGGAGTCCGAAGAGGAAGAGGCTGGGGAGGTGGAGTCCGAGTGACCCGTCCAGCCCCAGCCCCGCGAGCAGATCCAGTGGTCGAGGCCCAGGAGGCTCTGCGGAGGAAAAGGAGGAGGAGGTGGCGATTGCGCCATGATCTCGGGATGGGGGGACGAGGGGGGCGGGGGACGGGGCGATTCTGCACCCGCCACCTCTAGGCTTGGGCTTTTATCTGCTGGGAAGGTGAGAGGTGACCCCCCACCGGCTTGCAGAGAGGTGTCAAAGGCCACAGAGCCCTGGGCTTCCCTGGGCAGGGGGCCCTGGGAAAGAGGCCCATTTGCGGAGGTGTGGATTTTCACTCCTGGGGCGCTAATGGAGGCCCCTGCAGCCCAGGAGGGACATTTCGCATCTGGGTGGAGCAGCTTCCCCCACCCTCTTCTTCCCCCGCACCCCAGCAGGCCCAGTGCCCAGGAGCCCCGCCGCCCCCCACGTGCCTCCTGGACCCCCTTGAGGAGTGGCCGCCTCTCATCACCAGCCCCAAGGGCGCTGTGCCCCCTCGCTCCTGCCCAGTGCTGACCGTGTGCTGGGGAAGAAGCACACACGGACACTTTTTTGGGGGGACCCCCCCCTCCCAGTACCAGCTCTGGCTGATTGGCTAAGTGACATTGGGAAAGTCGTCTCACTGCCCACAGTCTGTTTCTACTCTGGAGAAATGGACCCCAGCAGCGTGGAGAAGAAGAAGGGTACAGTGAGGGTGGACATGAGCAAAGGTGGGCCCCCGAGCTGACCTTGGGCAAGGCACTTAGCTCCTCCGAGCCTCAGGAGGAGTACAGGATAGCTGCTGTCCGGCATGGCTGTAGGGATAGCCCAGAGTGAACCTTGTAGAGCATTTAGAATGGGCTTGGCATGTGTGCTAAATGTCTGCCCCTGTCATTTTTTTTTTATCAAGAGGGTATTAACAGAGCCAGGCATGGTGGTTACAAGGGAGGTGTAGGTAGGAGGTCCCAGGCCAGCCCCGGGCAAAAGCAAGACCCTGTCTGCAAACTAAAGAAAGCAAAAAGGGCAGGGGGCGTGGTTCATGCAATGGAGCACCTGCCTAGCAAGCAGGAGGCCCTGAGTTCAAACCCCAGTACTGCCAAAACAAACAAACAGAATAACTCAGCTAACATTTCCAGGCACTGGGAGTATTCATTTCATTCACATTTATTTACCAGCTGGTAAATGTCATGCACATCAGGGTGAACAAGCTTGTCACCTCTGTTCCCATGAAATTTCAGTCTTGTGGGAAGGCAGGGGAAGGGCCATTGTGTAATTAGCTCCACCACTAACTGGCTGCCTGTGGGCAGGGCCCTTAAGCTGTGTGAGCTTGACCTTCTGCTCACTAAAACAGGAGTAATAATTACAGTGTCTCCTGACAGGACTGTTGTGAGGCATCGTTGAGACAGCAAAAATTGGCGAACGCTTACAGTTGAAGCAGGTACACGGTGTGGCCTCTTGGGAATGGCTGAGCCTGGAAGCTAGTGGCCAAGTGAGGACCAGTGACAGCTGGGCTCTTGCCATGGAGGTGGAGAGGTCACAGCTGGGCTTCAACCATGACCAGGATTTGGGACAGCAGAACATGGAGAACATTCCAGTAAGGGAAATGCAAAAGCCAGGGCCTGGCAATGGGACCTACTTCCCCCCGAGTCAGGCCATTGCTAGGGTGGTGGGCGGGGGAGGCCTGGGCACACCTGGCCTAGGACCAGGCTGAGGAGTTGGGTCTTAAGGCCATGGGAGCCACAGGGCCTTTTGAGCAGAAGGTCAGCTTAAGTTAAAATAGTAATCAAGAATAGATCAACCAGCAGCGGCCTGAAGTGGTAAATGGCCTTGCAAATTTGCTGTGGCTGTTTTTAAAAATTAACTTTGGATCACACGTTATATAAGCAAATACACTTTAGCAGGAGAAGTGAAAGCCTGACACACAAAGCTGGACTCCCACCCCCAATGGTCGCTCCCCCCAGGTGCAGCAGACATAAGGTGAGTCCTAGCTGCCCGTGCTGCCACCCTTCCAAAGCCACGGTCTGCACTGGGGATCGGGCTGTCCCCCGGAATCCCAGCAGTGGAAACTCTGTCCCCAGAGCAGTGGTGTTTGGGAGGTGGCACCTTGGGGAGGTGACTAGGTCACAGGAGCTCTGCCTTCATGAATGACTTCATCTATTCCTGGGTGAATGGGTGACCAGTGGAGTGGTTTGCTCTGTCTCGCCATGGGCTGTCCTCTGCCACCTTAGATATAGCCTCGCCAGATGGCAGCGCCGTTCTCATGGGGTTCTCAGCCTCCAGAACTGTAAGACTTTTTCCTTTTTCTCCTTCTGCTTCTTCCTCTCCTCCTCCTCCTCCTCTCCCCCCCACTTTTCCTTCTTTTTTTCATTTTTTTTTTTTGGCAGTACTGGGCCTCACACTTGCTAGACACGTGCTCTACCACTTGAGTCATGCCTCTAACCCTTTTTTGCTTCAGTTATTTTTCATATAGGGTCTCTACTTTTTGCCCAGGGCTGGCCTCAGATGGTGATCCTCCTACCTCTGCCTCCCAGTAGCTGGATTATAGGCACATGACACCATGCCTGGCTTGTTGGTTGAGTTAGGGGTCTAGCTAACTTTCTGCCCAGGCTGGCCTTGAACCATGATCCTTCTGATTTCTGGGAGAGTAGCTGGGATTGCAGGGATGAGCCACCATGTCCAGCTGACATAAATTTATTTTCTCCGTTAAATTTATATGGAAACACAAGAGGCCATGAATAGCCAAGGCAGTACTCAGTCAAAAGAACAATGCAGGAGGTATCACAATACCTGACTTCAAACTATATTACAAAGCAGTAGCAATAAAAACAGCATGGTACTGGCACAAAAACAGACATGAAGACCAGTGGAACAGAATAGAGGACCCAGATATGAAGCCACACAACTATAACCAACTTGTCTTTGACAAAGGAGCTAAAAATATACGAGGGAGAAAAGACAGCCTCTTCAACAAAAACTGCTGGGAAAACTGGTTAGCAGTCTGCAAAAAACTGAAACTAGATCCATGTATATCACCCTATACCAATATTAACTCAAAATGGATCAAGGATCTTAATATCAGACCCCAAACTCTTAAGTTGATACAAGAAAGAGTAGGAAATACTCTGGAGTTAGTAGGTATAGGTAAGAACTTTCTCAACGAAACCCCAGCAGCACAGCAACTAAGAGATAGCATAGATAAATGGGACCTCATAAAACTAAAAAGCTTCTGTTCATCAAAAGAAATGGTCTCTAAACTGAAGAGAACACCCACAGAGTGGGGGAAAATATTTGCCAGCTACACATCAGACAAAGGACTGATAACCAGGATATATAAGGAACTTAAAAAACTAAATTCTCCCAAAACTAATGAACCAATAAAGAAATGGGCACATGAACTAAACAGAACTTTCTCAAAAGAAGAAATTCAAATGGCCAAAAAACACATGAAAAAATGCTCACCATCTCTAGCGATAAAGGAAATGCAAATTAAAACCACACTAAGATTCCACCTCACCCCTGTTAGAACAGCCATCATCAGCAACACCACCAACAACAGGTGTTGGCGAGGATGCGGGGAAAAAGGAACCCTCTTACACTGTTGGTGGGGATGTAGACTAGTACAACCACTCTGGAAAAAAATTTGGAGGCTATTTAAAAAGCTAAATACTGATCTAACATTTGATCCAGAAATACCACTCTTGGGGATATACCCAAAAGACCAAAAGACTGAGACACAGGTTACTCCAGAGGCACCTGCACACCCATGTTTATTACGGCACTATTCACAATAGCCAAGTTATGGAAACAGCCAAGATGCCCCACCACTGACGAATGGATTAAGAAAATGTGGTATTTATACACGATGGAATTTTATGCAGCCATGAAGAAGAACGAAATGTTATCATTCGCTGGTAAATGGATGGAATTGGAGAACATCATTCTGAGTGAGGTTAGCCTGGCCCAAAAGACCAAAAATCGTATGTTCTCCCTCATATGCAGACATTAGATCAAGGGCAAACACGAGGGGATTGAACTTTGATCACAGGATAAAAGCGAGAGCACACAAGGGAGGGGTGAGGATAGGTAAGACACCTAAAAAATTAGCTAGCATTTGTTGCCCTCAACGCAGAGAAACTAAAGCAGATACCTTAAAAGCAACTGAGGCCAATAGGAAAAGGGGACCAGGAACTAGAGAAAAGGTTAGATCAAAAAGAATTAACCTAGAAGGTAACACCCACGCACAGGAAATCAATGTGAGTCAACTCCCTGTATAGCTATCCTTATCTCAACCAGCAAAACCCCTTGTTCCTTCCTATTATTGCTTATACTCTCTCTACAACAAAATTAGAAATAAGGGCAAAATAGTTTCTGCTGGGTATTGAGGGGGTGGGGGGGAGAGGGAGGGGGCGGAGTGGGTGGTAAGGGAGGGGTGGGGGCAGGGGGAAGAAATGACCCAAGCATTGTATGCACATATGAATAATAAAAAAATAAAAATTAAAAAAAATTATTTTCTCTGTAAATTATCCAGTCTGGTACTCAGTTATAGCAACATAAAAAGGGAGTAAAACAGTCTTCATGCAGTTACGTTATGCACGTTGTACGTTGTATGTATCAGTCTGGAACTTGCTTGTTTTTCCTTCATTAAACAGCATGTCGTAAGCATTCCATGTCAGGACATGTTTCTCTTACTCCTATCCCACTTTTAAATGCTAGATCGAAATTTCACTGTGTTCGAACACAGATTGCAACTATGGGTTATATGCAAAATGAAGCCCTGGTGACGAGGCTTCATTTAAATAATTTTCACTGAGGATGCACAGGTAAGTTTCAGTGACGACACTGTCACTCTGTCCTTGGAACTCGTTTTAAATGTAGGAGGAAGTTGCCCAGTTGCAGCTCTGTGCTTCAGTGAGCAACAGTGGCCACAGATGGCTCGGTGGCAGAGTGGGCGCTTAGCCTGCATGAGAGCTCTGGTTTGATCCCCACTGCAAAACAAGTCGGTCAGGCCATCCGTTGCTTATTATTCGAGCTGCTGTGAAGAAAGAAGAAGTTTTAATTTGCCCGTATCCGAAAAGAAGGTGGAATCCAACTCAAACAGGCTTTTTTGGAAAGAGGC